AACTTCCTTGCCTCTTCCTACTAATGGGTTTAGGGGACGTGGGGGGCTGCTGTGCTTGTGGCTGTCCTAGGGGGGAAGACTTTTGTGGCTGTCCTGGGGCAGGGAGACATCAGTAAGCACCACCCCAGAGGTGGCCACATTATCCCGAAACACTTTTGGGGTGTCCCAGGGCTGCTAAATGTGCGTGGCTTGCAGCCTGTCCCCACGCTTCTAACAGCATGATTCTTTTTGAAAAGCAAAACATGAAAAAAATCCACTGAGATGATTTTTTTCTCCACCCTGCTCTATCAGAAAACACCTGGCTGGACTGTGATGTGGGGAAGGGGGGCTGGGTGCTTGTGCTCCAGTGTTCCGCGTGCTCTCTGCCAGGTGGGACTGGTTGTGCGACAGCGAGCGGGAGCACCTTGGCAAGGAGCATGTGGGGGTCTCTCCCAGCACTGGGCTGGAGGGATGTGGGAGGTCACTGTGGTGGGGGACAGGATAGGATTTCAAAAACTGGAGAGCTCCCGGTGGGTAGGACCAGCTCCTGCGCTAGGCTCAGTCCATCCCCTGGGATATCCCGACTGCTGTTTGTTATCCCAGGCCTGGGACAGCTCTGCCGGTTCCCTCAGCCCCAGCCTGACCCTCGGCAGCTCCCCGTGTCACGGGCTGTCCCGGCGGCCCCGGGAGGGCCGAGCCGCGGCGCCGTGCGCGCGGATCGGGCTCGTGCCCCGGCAGGCCTCCCCGCGCCCCACTGCGTGGGCACGGGCGCTGGGTACGTGCTGCCCGGGCTGCGAGAGAGAACGCACCGAGCTCGGCACACGCCCAAGCCTTGGGGCTGCGCCGGCTCCCGCCGGCTCCCTGGCTTGCGACGGCTCGCCCGGGCCTCCCAGCACCCACCGGCGCGGGACCTGGGCATCCTGCCTGGGGCACAGCATCGCCCCGGGGCTGCAGGGGTGTCCTGGGCACACTGCACAGGTACCCTGCGCGCAGTGCCCTGCTTGCAGCCCCCTGGGCACAGCGCAGGCAGCCGCGGATGCACGTGGAGCCGGAGATAGGTGGGATGGCACTGGGGTGGCACTGGGATGGTACCAGGCTCTGTGCTGTAGCGCTGGAAGCCTCTGGGGTGCGTTGCCCCAGCACTCACAGGTACTTGCCAGGTATGGTTGTGTGGTGGAGGAGCTGTGGGGTGTCCCAAGGCACAAGCCTGGTGAGCGAGGGGTCCCACATGGCCCCTGCTGACTCCCAGGCACTCTCCTCTCTCCCCACAGGCTGTACCTGGGAAATCCCTTGGACCCTCCTGATATTTTAGGTGTGGACCAAACTGCTGCCAGACCTACACAGCTTCCAGGGAGGGCTAAAAGTGAGTAGCTTTCTCCTTCCTCCTGCCCATCAGCTGCGCGAAGCCTCCATCCCTGTTCCCTGCTGCCAGGGTGATGCGCTGGACCCTCTCCTTTCTGTCTCTGTGCTGGCACTTGCTTTTTGCAGAGCAGGGGGAGCTGGGGTGATGGGGCGTGTTGCCACCTGGCCATACACCACTGCCAGCAGCATGGGCAGCTGGTGGCTCTGCCTGGCTGGACTCTGCCCTGCTGCCCTTTGTCCGAGTCCCTTGTCCTCTCCTGGCCTCCCACAGCTGGGCTCCCCAGCATGAGGGGTCTCAGTGGAGCTGCCACGGGGAGGGAACGCAGATGCTGTGCGTATGCCCCAATCCTAAACCTACAGCTTTTCCTTGGGGGGGCTTCCCACCAGCATCCTCCCCATGCCCCACCAGTGAAGGGGGACACAACAAAGCATGCACCCCATTAACAAGCACCCTGGCTGCCGCTTCTGTGTTCACCCTATGCTTCCCCTTCTCTTGGGTTCTGTCTTCTGCAGGGCAACCTCCTCCGCGCCCACCTCAGCCTACCGTCCTGCTCACCAGTAAGTTGGGCTTCTTTGAGTGCTGCTTTCCCTTCTTAATGCCCCCTTTCTTTTCTCTCTTACCTGGGTGGTCTGGGGCAGGTGCCCTAATATGGCTTGGGAGCAAAGAGGGCTGAAATTAAGGGGTGGTTTGGGGGCTTGGAGATGTAGATGCCCCTTCTCGCACCCTAGGGATGGGTGCTGGGACCCTCACCATCTCTCTTTGCCCCCTTCTAGAGCCTTGCTACGACCCAGTTAGTGAGGAGGAGGAGGGTCTGCCAGGGGGTCTCCGGAAGCTCTGCCTGAAGAAGCCAGGCACAGGGAAGGGTCTGCGACCAGTCAAACCATCAGCACGAGTCCCGGGCACCAAGGTGGGCGAGCGGCAACCCAGACGGCTGGCAAGCGAGGGGACAGCAAGCAGCGAGGTGACTCTCATTGACTTTGGGGAGGAAGTTCCCCAGGGTAGCCCCTCTCCAGTGGGAGAGCTGACAGCCCTATCATTAGCCGAGCTGGCCATGGAGGCCTTCTCTTTGCTGGACAAGACCCCCCCACAGAGCCCCACGCGGGCTCTGCCTCGGCCTCTGCACCCCACGCCGGTGGTGGACTGGGACGCCCGGCCCTTGCCCCCACCGCCTGCCTATGATGATGTGGCACAGGATGAGGACGATATTGAGGTCTGCTCCATCACCAGCCCCCCGAGCCGGCGGGGAAAGACCAACTATGGCTTTGTGGATGAGGGTGAGCGGGGACCGGCACTGGAGGACAACCTTTTCCTGCCCCCCAAGGAGACCAAGCAGCCCAGCATGACACAGACCACCGAGCTCTTCGAGGAGCTGCAGCAGGAGTGCATGAAGAGGCTCAACGTCCCTCTGGGACCGGCTGCACCAGCTGACGACAAGCCCCAGATCCCTCCCCGCGTCCCAATCCCGCCCCGGCCCCTTCGCCGCAATGAGCCTGGGCGCTGGTCAGGGGACCTCTCCCCAGCTTCGGGGGGCGAGGAGGACCGGCCGCCCCAGATCCCCCCGCGGGACCCGCTGTCCCGGCCCACCTCCCGGACACCCAGCCCCATGGCTCTGCAGGTGGGCTCCCCCCAGCAGCGTGCTGCCCTCTGCTCCTGCCTCTCCACCTCACCGGGGAAGCCCATGCCCACCACACAGAGCTTCGCCCTCGACCCTAAGTACACCACCCCCAAGGTCATCCAGGCGCAGGGCAAGGACTGCTCCAAGGGACCCTGCATCCTGCCCATCGTGAAGGATGGGCAGAAGGTCAGCAGCACCCACTACTACCTGCTGCCCGAGCGCCCGGCCTACCTGGACAAGTATGAGAAGTTTTTCAAGGAGGCTAAAAGCCCTGAGGAGGTGGCAGCGTCCCGCCAGGTCACCACAGCCACCGTCCGTCCCATGGTGCAGCAGCCACTGTCAGACTGCAAGGGCAACTTTTCCTCCAACAACAGCAACCCTGGGCCCAAGTGCCTGGTGAAAGCCTCCTGCAGCCTCCAGAAGATCGTGTACGACGGGCCGGATGTTTGCCGTCCTGCTGACAAGATCCGGTTGGTAAGTGTCATCCCCCAGCATCCATGAGAAGTGAGCCTACATGGGCAAGAGCTTTGCCCACCCTGTGCCTCAGTTTCCACAAGTTCAACCCCAGAGGATTGGCTACAAGAAAGCTCCAGATGTTCAGGGGGACATAAATGTCACCGCAATGCCAAAATGGGAATTGAAGGCCCTGGGGAGGAGGAAGGTGGCTGCTGCTATGGTCCCCTTGGTCTCTCTAGGCTGGGTGTATTCTGGCCCACCTAGACCCAGGGGAGATTTAAGATCCCAGAGATGAACATGATCCCAGCTCCAGGCTGATAGTACTCCCTGAAGACAGAACCAGGGATGGGGGCAGCCCCAGTGGTCTCCTGTTTCAGTCACAGGCTTCTTGCTGCCCAGGGGTGGCAGCAGACAGTGACCACAAGCTCCCCCCCAGGTGCAGGACATGGTGCATGGTGTGACCACCGAGGAATGCCAGGCAGCCCTTCAGAGCCATGGCTGGAACGTCCAACGGGCTATCCAGTACCTGAAGGTACAGCACACCCCTGTTCCCTTGTCCCAGCTCCATCAAGAGTGGTGGCACCCCTGTCACCCCTCTGGCCATGCCCTGTCCCCTTGCAGGTGGAGCAGCTCTTCTGCCTGGGGCTGAAGTCCCGTGGTGAGTGCCAGCAGGTGCTGGAGAAGTTCAACTGGAACCTGGCACAGGCCAGCTCCCACCTCCTCGGTCCCTACAGCGCCACCCGCCAGAAGTAGGGACATCCATGTTTTTGGGGGGGCAGTTCTCTGTGCCACACTGCTCTGGGCAGACTGGCACTATCACCCCCCCTGAGTTCATGTCCTGTCTTCTCCTTACAGGTGGTGACAGCGGGGACAGGGCGAGCTGTGTTGGATCCAGAGCAGGCATCTCGCCATGGGGCCAGTCCCACCGCCTCCACCCATACAACCTGCTGCAGGACTCTGGACTGAGCCCCCACTTGAGGGTGGAGACACCCCAAAAGGGACCCTGCCTAGTGCCACAAACTTTCCAGGATGTTTGTGCCCTGGCCTTGGCAATGGGCTCCATCCTCTGGCCCCTTGTTGAATTGTTTTTGTAAAGAGAAATGTAATTTTAATATATATATTATGTATATATATAAAAATATTCTATGGAGAGGCTGAGGGTACTTATGGCCATCTCCCAGGTTTATCCCTAGCAACACACAGGGACAGGCCACACATCCATGGGTGCTGGTTCCTCCCTGCAGGCAGCTGGGACTGTGACCCTTGGGATCCCCAAGGGTGGGATGTGGGATCCCCACAAGGCTATGACTGTGGGATGAAGCTCGGGAAGGGATGCACAGACTCTGGGGATCCCCAGGAAGCTGTGTGACATGTGCACCTATAAAACCTCCTGCTGAGTCCTCCCAGGCTGCTTTAGGGTGCAAAATTCTCCCCATCCACAGCTGCTGGAGTTAGTCACAGTATATCCCAGCCCCAGGCCCAACGCTGGAGGGCTGGGCATGGTTGTGCCTGCTCTGAGTGGGCAGTGTTTGCCTGCAGGGAAGACCCTGCAGCCGGGCCCCCTTGCCCGAGGCTCCCACCTGACTCATGCCCTCGCAGGGAGCGGCGTCGGCCCCCACCCACGTGTGGCTGTTGTGCAACCGCCTGCCTGTGCTGCAGATGGAGCCGGGAGCAGGTGAGGGAGTGGAGGGGTGGCTCCTGCAGGGTCCCAGAGCCTGTGTCGGTGCTCACTCCCCCCTCCAAGTGGGTATCAGAGCCCCTTAGCTGGGTTTCCTGCAGTGCTGCCTTCTAGCAGCATCAGGAAGAGATCTTGGGATCAGGTGGAGGAGGATCTTGGTGCCCAAACCCGCCAGGTCCATTGATAGTGATGGTCCCTGTCCCCAGGATACTCTGCTCCAGAGGAGAGACCCTGCCATACACGGTGAGGAAGGGGTGCCTTGGCATGACCATGGATCCATCCCTGGCCACATCCTCTGCACCCACAGCTCCCTCTGCTCGGGTCCCCTGGCCCTCCCTGAGCATGGAGACAGGGAGCTGGTGCTGCTGTGAGCACAGTCACACATCACTGCTTGGGACTCTGTGCTTCTGTGTTCCTGCGTGAGGTGCAGCCGCCATGGCAGGGTGTCAGTGAAGCGAGGAAGGCAAAACACCATCCCTGCCTTCCTTCCGTCTCCTTAAGTGATCCTGGAGGTGCGTGAGACCTTGTGAAGAAGCAAACACATTTGCTGCAGTGGATCCCTTCATGCAGCAAGGTCCATCCAGCCTGTTGCTGGTGGAAGGTGACCTGCAACCCAGGGCAATGCCTGGCCCCGCCGCCTATGCAGGAACAACCTCCCCTCCACTCCATCCGGGTGTGTGTGGGCGTTTGCCGCGATGTGCAGATAACGCCTGGCACCAGCAGTGCCCAAGGGGGGGACAGGGCAGGGTCAAGACGTGGGACCCCAAGGCATCAGCGCTAGCCTGCTCCTTCCTTCTTCCTCCTTGGTGCCAAGCCAACCCCTGCCAGGGGTTATTGGCCATGCAGCCAAGTGTGGAGGGACCTGACAGCAACCAGGAGGGTGGATGGGGGTGCAGAGCCCAGGGCTGACCCACCCCTCCCAGAGATGTTTGGGACCCCTGTCCCCACCTGCCGTTACAGTGTCTTCAAGCCAAGTGACTTTGAACCCCCCGGGGTGGCCCCCCCGCGGGCTGTAAACAGTGGGGTCGGCCAGGGAGGGACCTTAAAGCTTCCCATGGCACAATGGGTGTGACCCCCAGCATCAGTGGGTGCCCAGAACTGGGACGCTGCCACCTCAGCGCGGGCTGCGAGGACACGGAGACGTCAGTGCCCCAGGCAGGGCACGTGGTGTCCCTGTCCCCCCCACCTGGAGGAGTGCTCGCCGCTGGAGTCACCCTTGGCACGCTCCCTTGAGAGAGTGAGAGCTGCAGCCGCGTCGCCTTCCTCCCTGACACCGAAGGGGCACTATGGGGTGCCGGGGCCCGTGGCCGCTCTGGAGCTGGGTGCTGTGGGGGTGCTGGCTGCTGCCAGGTAAGTGCCAGGGTCCCTCGCATGCTGCCGGGCTGACCAGGTGCCTGACACCATGCGGGTGATGGGCTGCAAACAACCCTGCAAGGTCGAGTCCGAGTGCCCGGCCGGGGTTTGCCCTGTTTCCGCGGGTGCCAACGCTTTGTTGCGGTCCCCAGCTGCAGCAGGGGAAGGTGGCGGGAATTGTGGATCAAACGGAGAGACGCACACTCGGGGAATGTCCCTGTCCTGTTTTTGGTGTTGGTCCTCCCGCAGAAGGGAGGAGGGGTGGGGGTGATGGCGACTCCGGGCTGGCTTTTTCCTCACCTGCCCTCACCTGCCTTCTGCACAAGCCGGGGAGATGAAGGGGCAACCCCTTGTCCCCACGCTGGACCCATGCGAGTCGGGCAGCATCTCCCATGTGGCCGAGAGCACCAGCACCAGCGCCGAGCTGCCCTCAGAGCCGGCTGTGAGCCGGGAGCTCCCCGGAGCCGCAGCCGCACGGGCAGAGCTGCCCTGGCCCGCCGGCCCCGCCGCCCCCGCGGGCAGCCCGAGCTCAGGTGAGGCCGGCAGGGCTGGCCGCGGGCAGGTTCCTGCCTGCTGGCGCCGCGGCTGATCCAGCTGGAGCTGCTTTGTCTCGCTCCACAGGCATCGCGGTGCCACCGGCAACAGAGACAGGGCTGCTCCCAGCTGGGAATACTGGTGAGCAAGAGGGGCTTCCCAGCCCGGCAGCCCTCTCTGGGGGTCCAGCAACGCAAGGCAGCCCCCAGGCAGGGTCAGGGGCTGGGCTCTCCTCTGCAGGTGCTGCCCCAACCAGCGTCCCTCCAGCTCCCACCACCAGTTGGGACACGCAGCCTCTGTCCTTCAAGCCAGCGGGGCACACAGTGGGTCCTGCCCTGGGTGCTGTCACCGTGGAGCAGACAACAGTGACAGCACCAAGCACAGAGCCATTGCTGCCCCAGGATGAGCACAGCACAGCGACAACATCCCCCAGCATGAGCAGGAGCTCTGCTGAGCCATGTAGTACTGCCATGCTGCTGGCCCAGGAGGTCACACCGGGGCCAGATGAGGCCACCTCACCTCTGGCCACAGCTGCCAGCATCTCTCAGGACAGGGCCAGCCCCATGAAGATGGCAGCAGCCACAGCCAGTCCCCCTGACACAGCCACAGAAGGAGCCTTTTCTTCTACTACCACTGGCACCAGCAAGGCTGCAGAGCCACAGACAGGTACCTTACCCAACGCTGACCACAGTGCCTCACAGGACCCTCCTGGGACCCCCACTCAGCTGCCTGCAGCCCTTTTGTCCCAGCTTCCTGGTGAGGCTGTGCTGGGCACAGGGGAGATGCTTCCCCCCAGCCTCAGCACCACCCTGGGCACTGCTGGACATGGGCTGCCTGCAGACAACGCCGCCCACCAGCCCCAGGCCACCACACAAGCTGCGGGCACACCGGCCACAGTGATGGATGTCACAGCTGGAGAGCACATCCCATCTCTGGGAAGCACCACTACTGAGCTGGTGTCCATCAGGAATGAGGCCAGTATCAAAGCCACAGCAGGCACTGCCATCCCAGAAACCGAGGACACACCAGGGGGGCTCAGCATCAGTCTGTCCCCCCATGCAGCTCTCAGAGACCCTGATGGTCCCTCTCCAAGGCCCTTTCCACAGTCCATGGGCTCTCTGCTCCCTCAGTCCCTCTCAGCAGGCCTTGGGACCAGCACAGCAGAGGCAGCTGCAGGCAGATCTCCTTCAGCCACTCCCAGCACGGCCATGCCTTTGTCCCTCACGGGCACCACTGGAGCAAAGCCAGACAGGGCCCCTCGAGCTGCTGCTGCTGCACCACCATCTTCCATCGCTGCGTTTGGCATCGGGACTGTGCCAGCCACCCATCCATCCTCCTCTGTTAGCAACTCTCCAAGTAGTGAAGCAGGGATGGGATCAGCATCACTGGCCAGTGGCAGTGCCACCACAATGCCGGGGGACACCGAAGCCACCCTGCCTATGCCTGATGCACACCCCAGCCACAGCCAGCCAGGGCCCACAGCAGGCTCAGCAACCCCAGGAATTGGCATCACACCCAGATCTGCACTAACCCCAGTGCTCTGGGCTGGGCCCCAGATTGTGGAAGCTCCAGGGACAGAGATGCTGTCACCCAACACTGCACCAGGCACTGGCAGAGCTGTATCAGATACCCCTGGGGGATCCAGAGCGGTCACTGTCCCCATGGCATCACAAGCGGACGTCTCCCCTCTCCTGGAAGGCAGAGTCAATGTAGGGATGGCTCTGGAGGTGTCTCCAACCAGCATCCCCCAAGAGATGGCAGCAGTCACGTCCCCACTGTCCCTGACTGCCCCACTGCAAGCAATGGGGGCTTCAGGTGACCCCCAGCCCAATGGCAGCACCACAGGGCGAGCAACGAGTATGGGGTTCCTGGAGGTGAGCACGGAGGAGAGCCCAGGTGCCAGTGCAGCAGGGCCAGCTCCCAGCCACACGATTGTCACTGCCAGGCCATCACCAGAGCCACCTGACCCTAAGAACAAGCCCACTGCTGGGACCACCTCGCTGGCTGCTGGCCACACAAATGTGTGGGAGGCTACAGCTGCACCCCAGACAGGTGGCACAGGTGCCACTACCCATGTGGACACCACCAGCTCTGAGAGCGGCACCGAGGCTGCAACACCCTCAGCCAGCACCAGCAGCACCCCTGTCCCTGACTCCAACGCCAGTGGCACAAGCCTGGCCACCACGCCGGCCACCACACCATCCACCAGCACGTTCACCAGCAATGCTAACCTGCCACCCACCTCCACAGGCTGGGGCACCTTTGTGAGCAGTGTCACCACAGCCATGCCATCTGCCACAGCATGGGCCACCAGCACCAGCAGTGCCCCATCCCTTGCTGTGACACACAGCGAGACCAGCGGAGGTGGGCTGCCTGTCCCATCCCCAGCAGCACAAACCCCCGTGTTGGAGACAACTCTTGGACCCTGGGGCGTCCCTGGTCCCAGCACTGCTGCTGCAGTGTCCAGTTCTCCCCTCCCCAGCCTGCACAGCCCAACAGAGGAGGCCACAACAGCCCCCTTGTCCCTGCTGGGTGTTGGTGCAACTGGGGTGGCAGCAGCTGGACAGACTGCCACCAAGTCAGCTACAGACACCACTTCTCCCGCATCCATCGGCTACCAGAACATGGGACAAGCAGCGAACACATCACCTCCTGCCTTCCAGACATCTCCAGGGGCACCTGCCTGGAAGGAGAAAACAGCCATCAGCACAGGCAGCACCACAGCCACTGCTGCAGGGAGCACCATGGCCAGCACCACAGGCAGCAGCACTGCCACCACTGCCACCACTGCAGGACACAGCACTGCCAACATTGCCACCCCTGCAGGGAACAGCACTGCCACCACTGCAGGACACAGCACTGCCAACACTGCCACCCCTGCAGGGAACAGCACTGCCACCACTGCAGGGAACAGCACTGCCACCACTGCCACCACTACAGGGAACACCATGGCCAGCACCACAGGCAGCACCACTGCCACCACTGCAGGGAACACCATTGCCACCACTGCCTCGACTGCAGGCAGCACCACAGCCATCACTACAGGGAACATCTCTGCCACCACTGCCACCACTGCCACCACTGCCACCACTGCCACCACTGCAGGAGGCACCACAGCTATTGCATCCATAGCCCCAGTGAGCCCAGCCAAGGAGGCAGGGAGTCTCCCAGGCACCACGGCACCAGTGACACCACCAGACACCACCAGCCCTGCCACCACCCTGTCTCACACCTTTGGGACACAGAGAGGACCATCCACCGAACTGAGCACATCTGCCCACACCACCACTGGGCACAGAACTCCCGCACCTGAGCCCAAACCCACCCATGAGCTTATCAGTAAGTAGATTTTATTTTTCCCAAGGACAGGAGTAGGAAAGGGGTTTTCAGCCAGTCAAGCATTGGGATGGATGAGGGTATGGCCTGGTCTGGGGTGTCTCATCTTCATTGCACATTGGGCTGCCAGATTAATAGAAAAAGGCAAAGTAGGACATTTGAGAGCATCCCAAAAGTGGGTTCAAAACTGGGTTACAATCCATCAGAGCACAGGCACAGCATCCTGGCAAGCAGGTGGGTTTGTCCTGGCTGCAGGATGGATAAAGCAGACATTAATGATTTCACACCTTTTTCATTGATCTCCTGCCCATGGCAGAGCCAGCGACTTCACTCTACCCCTTTGGCGTGGAAGCAGGGGATCAAGAGTATGTCCGGAGGATGGTGGATTTTAACTCACCCCTGTTCAAGCCAGAAATTGGATTTCCCTTTGGGAAGTCACTGCGAGATGTTCTCTATGTGAGTCCCCCCCTTTGGTGAGCACATGATGGATGTGCTGCCTTTTTGGTAAAAAGCCCCTAACATTGAAATGGAGCAGAAACCAAATTTCATTGGAATATATTTTTTTTAACATTTAAAATGGTTGGTTTCTGCTCACCCGTGGAGGCTAAAAGCCATCCCGGTCAGCAAATGACAAGTTCTTTTGGTTAGTTTACAGATAACGGACAGATCATTTTTCCACCCACGGACAACTATGTCCCAACCAACCCCAACCCCCCTCCCCGGGGCTTCACTGGCCGGGAGAGCTTGCCAATGGTGGCTGCCTTTTGGGACGATGCAGACTTCTCCAAGGGTGTTGGCACCACTTGGTACCAGGTGAGGGCCACCAGAGGTGTTCTGGCAGAATCCAGTTCCCAGCTCACTCATTTAATTCTCTCTCTTGCCATGTGGCAGGAGTACTCTACACTCAGCTCTACCCAAGACCCTGTTGTCCAAGATGTGGAAGCAAAGATTGAGAAATACTTAAAAATCCCCTATGTAGCAAAATGGACCTTGAAGGTGACGTGGGAGAAAGCTCCAGCGTACCCATCCCGGAGGGATGACACTCAGGTGAGCAGTGACACACCAGGTGACAGAGGGGAGTGCTGGTGGCTGTTTCAAGCCTCAGTCTGCTCTGCAGGGAGAGCAGGGGAGGCTCTGGGAGCACTGAGGGGGTGCCTTGTGGTTCTCCAGACGAGCACCTACCAGGCAGTGCTCAGCACCGACGGGAGCCGCTCCTTCGCCCTGCTGCTCTACCAGGACGGGGGGATGCGCTGGGACTACAGCAGGCTGGCTGCAGCCAACGTGCTCATCGGCTTCTCCAGGTGCTGCACGCCTCTCACTGCCTTTGGGGACAGCAGAGATTTGTCCCAGCACCGTGTTCAGACTGTCTGAGGCATTATTCCCAGGAGAGCCCAGCTCCCACTCCTGGAGCAATCCTGCCCCATTTAAACCCCTTCTCTTGAAAAACGCAGCAGTTCCCACCCCAGCTGCTGTATGGGGGGAGGAGGAGGGTTGTGTTGGAAGGATGACCTCAAACCTCCTCTCTCCACACAGTGGCAATGGCTATGCCCAAAACAACGAGCTGACTCAGGAGCCACGAGCTGTCAAGTACCGACCAGACCAGCACAGCAGCACCGGCTCTGGTACGGCACCGGGGGTCCTTGGGGCGGGTGGAGATGGAAGGAGCTGTGTGCTCTGTGCCAGGAGCATGTCCCCACACCCATCCCTGGGCCAGCAAAGCCACTGGGCAAGAGCTGGCCACCCAGAGCAGACTGTTAGTGTCCCATATCCTCCTGTGGCTTGCCACAGCCCCGCTGGCTCTAGAGGGAGCCTGGAGACCTCGTGTGAGGTCAGTGGCCAGGGACAGCTGTCCCACGGGATCCCTCAGCACAGGCAGAGACCCTGGCTGAGCAGTGTTGCTCTGTGGTTGCTCCCCCAGATGTGCGTGGGCTGTGGATTTACAGGCTGGATAGTCGCTCCCGGGTGAATTACAGGCTGCAGTGCCTGGCGTGGCTGGACACGGAGCCAGCGCCGGCCACCTGGAACAGCCAGCTGCCACCCTGCCCCTGCTCCCGGCCCCAGGCAGAGCTGGATCCCCGCTACCGCTGGAGCAGAGGTGCCAAGGACAGACCCCAGCACCAGCTGCAGGGTTGGGAGATGGTCCCCTCCTGCTCTGGGGGCAGCTGTGACACCCCCCCCCCAATATTTCAGGCCCAGCAGACACCTCCGTGAGGATGCTGCGCACTGCGGCCCCCAGCCCAGCTGGAGCTGGGGTACGGTGTCTGTACCAAGGTGGGAGCTTGCTCGAAGGCTGGCAGGAGAGAGCATGGAGCCCCCCCTTCCATGCTGCCACTGGTAAGTGGGAACTGGCTTTCCCTTTCCCTAAAACACCCCAAGGATCAAGCACAGGCCCTGACACACCCCATCACATTCCTCCCCAGACACAGAGCTGGAAGCATTCGACTGGTGCTGCCGGCGTGTGGGGAAGCCCCTGTTCTGTGCCAGGTTTGCTGAGAAGAGACCGAGGGTTGACTGTGAAGGATATGTGCCACCCACCCCTGGTGAGTGCTCGGGCTCTGCCTCTGCTGTGCCAGGGCACTGAGCTGGGCATGGACCCCATGCTTTAGCCACACTTTGCACCATGCCAGTGGGGACTGCTGAGCCACCACTGGGCAGCTCTGGGGCTGCTCTCCTCCCTGAAATGACACCAGCATTTGCTCTTCTTCCTCTGCCCAAAACATCTCCATCTCCTTTGGACCCCAGCTGGTGCCTTTGGGGACCCTCACATCACCACCCTGGATGGACTCACCTACACCTTCAATGGGCTTGGGGACTTTGTCCTGCTGCTGGCCAGTGATGCCCGGACCAGCCTCGTTTTGCACGGGCGCACAGCACAGACTGGCATGGCCCACGCCACCAACTTTGTGGCTTTTGCTGCCCAGTACATCTCCAAGACTACCACAACAGTGAGTAGGAGTGCCCTAGGTATGAGTTTGATCCTCTAATGGAGGAGACCTCTCTGGCAAGTTGGGAATAACCTCTACATCACCTACAAGTGGGTGGGCCCCAAGAGGCAACCCCTCTTCTTTTCCTGTCACCTCCCACCATGCCAACAAAGTACTATTATGGGGAAATGGACTAATATTTACCAGGCAGAGGTCTAACACCTCCTGCAAACAGGCCAGCAAGGGCTGGAGACTCTGGAGGAACATGGTCTGCTTCACCTTTTCCATTGCACACTCTTTGTCCTGACGCTTTAGCACAAGTGACTGCTCTCCTGACTTTGCAGCATGGCTCCAAACACTCATTTAGCTTCACTAATCAGAATGTCCTGGTGTCACCAGGAACAGGCATGGAATAGCATGAGGAGGGGGCTCAGAGATGGGAGCCCCCCAGCACAGCTCTCCATGCTGTCAAGGCCAGCTGAGCAGTGGTGGTGGCCTGGGTGTGCCCCTTGCCAAGGTGACAGGCATCTCTCTGTCCTCTTCTGTGCAAACATCAGAGCTGCTGTACTGTATGTCTGCTGGGGTGGAGAGCACACCAACACAGGCCCCAGGGCTGGGCCTCTCTTCCTGGGCTGGAGGAGGACAGAGTTAAGAATTGTTCCCAGCATGGAGGGACAGCAGGAAGGGACAAGCAGAGGGCTGACTGGGACATCCACCATGATTTTCAGGTTGAGTGGACCTTGGGGAGCCAGGATGACATCCAAGTACTCCTGAACAACGAAACCATCCAGTTTTCCTATTCCCAAGGTGAGAAGGATCTATTGTTAAACGCTAAATATATGTGGGGGGGACCAGAAATGTCCCCATCCCCTGGGACCAGCCTTGCCCAGTGCTAGGGCAGCCACCCTGAGATCCATTAAATGCCTCTCACCTGCGCGTGTCTCTGGTCTGGGTGGGGTGCATGGGCAGCACTCCCCTCCAGGAATCCATGGCTGCCATTTCAGGTGCCAGCCTTACACGGACTATCCCTCTGAGCTCTCCTTCTCTTGCAGACCTGGGTGACGAGGTGTACTACAGCCCTGGTGTCCTGCTGGTCAACTCCTCCTCTGTCACAGCTGTCCTCGATGGGAGCATGGCTGTCTCTGTGTCAGCCACCTCTGGGATCCTCAGCGTGGTGTGCAGCCTGCCCGACTGGTACCGCAACAGCACCAGCGGCCTCCTGGGTGAGGGCTCTGCCAGAGCTGGGGAGCAAATTCTCCTCCCACTCTAAAGTGGAAAACTGGGGCACTGTGCTTGTGAGGGCAGGGACACCTGGGTATAAACTAAACACTGGCCAGCACCAGAGAGGAGGTCAGCCCTGGCATGGGGGATTCCAGCACTCTGGTGATGCTCCACCAGGTGTGTGGAACCATGACCCTGCAGATGACTTCCAGATGCCAAATGGTACCAGCATCCCCGTGAACAGCAGTGAGGAGGAGATCTACAGCTACGGGATGACCTGTAAGTCCAGGATTAGGATCCCTCTTGATGATCCTCTGCTTCCTGCACCTTCTGGCCGTGCTTTGGCTTGAGATATTTAAACATTTGCCTGAGCAAAAGCAATGTCAAGGGAAGGTGTTTGGTGTCCTCATTGCTCTGTGAAAAGGAACTCTAAAATACAACAAGTCTTAAAATGGCCTGTACCCATGGCGTGCTCTCTTGCAGGGGCTGTTGGGGAGCACAGCCTGTTCACTCAGCCTCTGGACTCACCAGCACTGAACTTCACACCCTTCTTCTTGTCTCGGCTGCGGCAGGAGAACGAAAGCCAGTACGAGCTGGTGGCCTCTCAGTGTCACGGCAGCAAGGAGTGCATCTTTGATTCACTGAGCACAGGGAACCTGGCCCTGGGGCTGGCCACCCAGAGCCTTGCAGCAGACTTCCAGCAGAGGAAGACAGCACTCAGTAAGTGGAGCACATCCTCACCTCTGAGAGGGCATGGCTTGGATGTAACTGAGCAGTACCTTGCTCCTTTCCTGGGCTCTCTTGCTTAATACGAGACAGAAGAGAAGTCACCAAGGTCTTGGATTTGCACTGCCCAGCTGGCTTGTCTCCAGTCCTGGGAGATGCCACCAGCAGGACAGTTGCCATCAAGGTTTTGGAATTGCATTTCCTGGAACTGCATTTCTGGCTTCTCTCCAAACCTGGGAGATGCCACCATGCTGTGCAACATAAGGGCCTTGTTGGTGGGCAGCCATGACAGCATCTGCCTGGGGTCCCATCCTCACCAGGAGGGAGTCAGAGCCAAGGGGTGACAAGGCCACATGTGTGCTGGGCTGCTCTTTCCTCAGATGCCTTCCCTCCCATCATCACCGGTGACGCATCCATCACAGCCTTCAGGACACAGAAGGTCACAAGGCAGTACCGTGCCGTGGGGGAGGGTGCACGCTTCATTCCCCATCTCTCACCAGAGCTCAACATATCGGGTAAGGAAGGGGAGATGGAGCTGCTGGGATGGGAAGGAATGGGATGGAATTCCTCTGCCACCTCTAACTCCTACCTCTCCTCCTGGCAGAGAATGGCACCCTCATATGGGAGCCCCGTGGGACAGCCCCATTCACCATCAACCTGGAGGCTGTTGGCTCCAACAACGTCTCTGCACTCCTCCAGCTCCGCTTCACCCTTTGCAGATGCAGCAGGAGCCGGGACTGTGACTACAGCAACACTGTCACTCTCAGGGAGTCTTCCCTGCAGGTAGTGCACCAGAAAGCTCCTCTGGTGACACATTGTGCCTGTCCCTATGCCAGCTGTGCTGGCTGTCTTCTCTGTTCCCCCATCCTCCTCATGTTCCCTCAGCCCGTGTCACTATTCCCTTCCCAGCTGGCCGCCTGCAGATGTGAGAGCGGCTACTCAGGTGCCCTCTGCCAGATCCCTCCGGACCCCTGCTCCCAGGGATGCTTCCCTGGCGTGGGATGTGACCCTTCCAGTGGCTGTGGCCCCTGCCCAGCTGGCCTGACGGGGGATGGAGAGCACTGCTCAGGTGACAAGGGCTCACAGCGTGCCCCTGGGGCCCCAGCCAGGCTGTTTGTCCTGGTGCCATGGAGCATTGTCTCAGCAGATATCGATGAGTGCACGCAGGGGATGGAGTGCCCAGAGAACAGCACCTGCACCAACACTGTGGGCAGCTACATCTGCTCCTGCCTGGCCAGTGAGCAGGGTGAGTACGGGGTCCCTGGCAGGCATGGTCCTTGTGCCCATCACCCCAGGCTCTGTGGAAGAGAATTCCTGAGCCAGAGAGGAGAGAAGGGGGAGCTGCTCAAGCTCTGTGCCCAAGCCCTTGCTGTCGTTAGCAGAAGGGACCAGAGTCCAGCCACCACTCGTGTTCCCAGGCTGTTGATCTCACTAATCCGCTGGGAAGAGAAATTTTTCCCATGCAATTTTTCTCCATTAGAAAAAAATTCTCATCCCAGCAAAGTTCAAATGCACATGCGGAGGTTGGGGGCTAAATCAAGCCCTATTTTCAGATTGCTTTGGTGGGGTTGAGTTGATGGCTTTTGCTCTTGTTTTAATGCTGAGATTTAAGAAGGGCAAATGGCTCCAGCTGGAAGGAGGGGGAGTGGGGTTTTTCCTTGAATTAATACTAAAATTCCTAGCACATAAAAGAAAAACAAAACAAAACTTGGGAGAAAGGCCTTATGGAGCAGCTGAGGATGGCTCAGAGACTGGGGCTCTGCTCTGCAGCCAGGTTCATGCCTCTGCCATGCTCTCCATTCCACAGGTGAGAGGCCAGGCTGTGGCTCAGCCTGTGGCTACCACTCCTGCCCTGAGGGCTACTGCAGCAACGGGGGACGCTGCCACCTTCACCCCATCACTTGTGCCCCCACCTGCTCCTGCCCCCCGGCTTTCACCGACCAGCGCTGCCTGGTGGCAGGGGGGGATTTTCAGCCCCTGCCCAGCTCAGGTGGGTACCTGTGCCCAGCATGGGGTGAAACCCAGCCCCACTCACCCTGCTCCTGGGGTGCCAGAGCCACCACTGTGCCTCTCCCCCAGCAGGTCTCCCTCGGAGAAGCATCCAGATGAGGATCAGGACACTGCAAAACGCCACTGCTGAGGAAGTCAACAGCACTGTATGTCACCGGAGGGGTGGGCTCAGAGCAGGGCACACACTGGCACACTGGCAGCATGGCAGCTGGGAGTGGGCAACCCTCTGTGTGCCCTCCCATGGGGTCTCTGGGGCCCCAGCAGATCCACAAGCCCAGAGGGAGGAAGCACCAATTGCATGATAATGGCTGCAGCCATGGCCCTGTGCCAAGTCCCCAGCAAACGAACTAAACGCCAGAGCAGCCCCTGGGGCTTGGCCACAATGCCTGCATCACTCTTCAACCTTTCCCCATGCTGGTGTCATTCTGATGTCCCCTAATACCTTCCTGTTCCCCTCACTGCAGGTCTCAGCCATCCTGGACTCCCTGGAGGTAAAGGCTTTCCAGAGCAACACCAACATCACCCAGATGTGAGTCAGATGTGAAGCAGCCTGTGACCACTCCAAGGAGCAGGTGGGGCAGGGCTGAGCGTAGGGCCAGAGGGTTTGGTGCACCAAGAGCATTTTCCCCCAGCTCAGAGTCTATTTCCAGCCCTGATGCTGGCAAACCCTTGGAGACACAAGTCTGTTGGCACCTTCCCCTCCTGCCTCATCCCTTCCTTGCCATCGCCCAAATGGGAATACTGAAGCACGGTGAGGCTCAGTCACTCTGAGAGGCAGCAGCAGCTCCACCAGCACCCCTCTCTTTTCCCTGCAGGACAGACAGCGATGGCTTCACCTTCGTGGTGGTGTCCGAGTTCGCCTATGACAGCCGGGGCACCGTCATCCGCTTCCTGAACGAGGAGCTGCCCGCGGCCATCACCGGCGCCTTCAACGGGCGGCGGCGGCGGCGGGAGGCGGGCCCGGGGCTGCTGTTCCAGCGCCTGCACCGCGACAACATCACCGACCTGGTGAAGCGTGAGTGCCCCTGGCTCTCAGCTGCGGAGTACCCCTGTCCCCATTGAGCCCATAACCCTGAGTGCCCCAGGGATTGGCTCACACCCATGCGGGAGATGGGTGGGCAGCCTCCCAACCCCAGGCATGGATCCAGCTTGGGGAGGCCTGGGGAAGCCTCGAGGGGTGCTGCTGCAAGGCCGAACGCCATGACCCCACAACACCCAGAGGTGTTGCTGCTTTCCCTCCCCAGTGACAGTGGATGAGCTGAAGGACTACTTCCCCTGCTCTCTGTACGGCTACAAAGGCTACCAGCTCCACTACATGGGGACCATCGGCTTCACCTGCATCTCCCCCTGCAAGATGGGCTTCTGCCAGCACGGTGGCCAATGCCAGCACCTGCCCGAGGGGCCCATGTGCAGGTAGCAGCACCCTGGGGTGGACAAGGCCGCCCTGCTCAGCCGCTTCTCCCGCAGCATCACAGCTCCTCCCTCCCCATCCACAGCTGCCTGCCCTTCTCCATCTACTCTCCGGCCGGCCCCCGGTGTGAGTGGCTGGCCATCAGCCTGGCTGCCTTCCTCGGCATCCTGCTGGGAGCCCTGGCCCTGCTCTGCCTCCTGTTTGCCATGGCCTGCCTGGCCCTGCGCCTCTGCCGCCAGCGCCGCCGGCACCGCCGGCACCGGGGGTGAGCCACGGGCTGGGCCTGCACAGGGCTGGGGCTGGGCATGGGTGTAAGAGGGAAAAACTGATCAAAAATCCTCCTCTGAAAGATCCACCACTGGTAGAACTCATCTGGTTTGGGCAGGGGGACCCTGCCCTGGGAGAGTGGTTGGGTGACCTTTTAATATCTTCCAGCCCCTTTTCCAGACATCTCTTGCTCAGGGGTGCAATAGCATCAGGGGGTTGAATGTTTAGCTATCCTTTTTCCCCACGTTAGGGAGTGTTTGCATTTCTTCCTCATCCCACCCAATACTTGGTTACAGATCGGCTTTTTATTTAATTTTTATTTGCATACCACCCAAATGATTTCCACTTCAATTCACATGGGTCTGGAAAGAGCTGGCCTGGAGCAGGGAGAAGTGGTTTGAGAATTGGACCTTGCTCTTCTGCAGAGCAGGGAATTAACAGAACAATGGCAAAGTGCAAGGCTGGGGTGGAAGAACCAGCTTCTCCTTCCCCACTCCCCTTGGTCCTGCAGAGGCATCCACACCCAGGGGATCTCCCAAGCCCCTGGTCAGAGCTGTGTCCTGCCCCTGCTCCCAGCTCCCTGCCAGCCCTGGAGCCAGGGTTTCTGGGGAGTTCCTTGGTTCATTTGCATTTGTGGCAAGGCAAGAAATTGTGTGTGCACAACTGGGGTTTTTCCTCCTCTTACAGCCCCATCAGTCAGTCACTGCTCCCCTTTGCCATCTGACCCAGACACCAGCATCAGGCAGGGGTTCTCTCTCTGCTGACATGTTCTCCCTATTCTGTTCCCCCCTCTCAGGGCCAAGGAGACCTTGTGGAGGACACGGCCCTTCTCCTGTGAGTACATGCCTGTAGAACTCCACCCACTAAGGCTCTGATTCACCCCAGTCCTCAAGCTCCACTCATCTTCCCTGCTCCAGCTTTAACGATGGCAGGAGAACAAGCAGAGCCCACCCAGTCCCTGGAAAGGCATTGGAAACTGCAGCTCCAGACCATTGACCCCTCAGTCCAGGTCTGTCCTCAGGTTACTGTTTCCATGGGGTGTTGGGGCTGGGAACTTTGGGCTGGGCTCAGAATCCTGGCCCTGTGCCTCAAGGGAGCTCAGGAGCTGTGCCTCACCCTGAAGCATCACCGGTGCTTTGGCCAGCACTGGGATCCACAGCAGCGTCACAAAGCACAGAGCCAGGGCCACACTGACAGCATGGCCTGCTCCTCCTTTACAGATCAGAATCCAGAGACCCCACGTTGTGCCTCCCAGCCAGCCCCCCCAGCAGCCCTAACCTGGCACCAGTCCTTTTCTGGCACCTCCAGGCTCACAGGGGAGCCAGACACTGCTGCCTGCTCCGCTGCTCGCTCTCAAGGTCTCCAGCAGCAGCAACGCATGGAAGCAGGGACAGGCAGCTGCCTTTTGGGTTCTGGGAGGATTCTGGAGGAGGTGCTTTTTTGAATGTGTGTTTATGTTGGGTGACCAAAGCAGGAGGATTTCACCTTTCCTGAGGACCTGCAGAGACACCTGGGATCATCCTTGAACGTGCCTGCCCCAGGGGAATGTGCTAGTGCAATATAACAGACCCTGCAGATCCCCTGAGAGCAGGGTCAGGTGGGGCAATGCAGTGACTGTAATCCCTTAGGAACCAAATAGAATAAACCAAAAATGTTGGCTTGCTGTTAAATTGTCGGCTGCTCAAGGGTCTCTGTTTCACTATCATTGAGTCCTCAAGGCCCTGCTTTCTACTGGTTCCACAGAGCCAAAGTGAAAATGGATGTAAATTTTTTGGTGGCTTCCTCCCCTCATTTTCCCTTCAAACCTGCAAGTCTCCTGACACTGCTTTCATGGACACTGCTTACAGTGGCTCAGACCACGCAGGTCAGGCTTTGGCCCCTACAAACATCCCACAGCCCTTCAAACCTGGTGAGTGGGAGATGCTGACCCAAGGAGGGACTATCAGACCCCATCAGATCCCCAACTCCCACCCCATTCACTGCCCTAGACCCTGGCTGAGCTGCATCTCCAGTACCAAAGCCAGGAACAGAAATATCCTGTAATCCTGCTGCTCCAAGGCTGCGCTGTCAGTGCTTCCCACCCCAGTTTGGCAGAGGACATGGTGCTGCAGGATCAGGGATGCTCAAACCCTTCCAAGGCCTTATTGAACAAACAAGATTTGACAATGATTTAATGTTTTTTTTAAGAAAGGAAGATGCTCTATTACACACAAAAAATTATTTTTCTGCCAACATTTCTGATCATGGGGATGCATTTTGCCCTCACACACCCAGCAGATGCATTGATCTGATTCTGGCTTGATCTGGAGGATAGTCCCTTCTCCTGAAGGAGAGACAGGGCCCGGGGACCACTCAGGGAGGGATGGCTGGGAAACAGAAGTGGGGGACAAGACAGGACAGGCTCATAGGACAAGCCTGGTGCACCCTGGCATTTAAGGGCTTGGCCACAGTCAACCCATGTGTGGTCTTTAACCCTTTCCCAGGGGTCCAGCCTCACCCTGCAGCATGGGAGCACAGTGGGATGTGGGCTGGACAAGGGTGGTGTGTGCAGTGGGGGGGTACCTGCCCACCTCCCCACCAGTTCTGCCCCCCAGCTGCATCTGGGAAAGGACAACTAAAGCAACTGAATCCCTGGGACAAGCTGGGTTAGAAATGTGAGCTTGTGCCAGGGCAGGCAACTGCAGGCACTGCCAAGTGAGCTGCCCTGCGTGGTGGGCAGGGGTGATGGGTTCTGTGGGGGGACACGGGGGAAGAGCAGATCAAAGGGCTTGAGGATCAGCCATGGCCCAGAACATGCTGCAGGTGTGCAAAAACCTCCCAGTTACTTGTCCTCTCCATCTGCAAAGAAGAAATGAGATTTGCTCAGCCACCTTCTCCCTGAGGGACAAGCTGGAAGCCCCAGGGCATTTTCTTGCAGGGGCACAGGGAGAGAGGGAAAGGAGACCGCACAGTCCTGCTCACCTATCTGCTCATCTGAGTCATTCTCTGCCTCCTCCGAGGAATCTGTTAAGGATTGCAAGAAAGCCCCACGTCAGCTTACGCCATAACCCCATTTGCTGTGGCCTCCTCACCTCCCAGTGCCATTACCTCCGGACTGTGCTGGTGGTTCTGTGCTGAGGGAGATGCCTCCACAACCCCCACAGCCCAGGGCATGGCACAGCCTGCACATGAGCACCCCAAAATCCTTCCCCATCTGCTCAGGGCTCTTGCTGCCTTAACCACAGGGAGGCTGGGACATTCCCACTCCCCTCCCAGCCCTGGGCACCAAGACAGCACCACCCCAGTGCACATGAGCTGCAGACCCACCCGTGCTGGGGGACTGGTATCCATCACAGCCAATCTTCGGCCTCTTCTCGCTGTAGCGGGCACAGAGGTGGACACTGCCCGCCCGATTACAGCACCAGTCATACAGCTTCAGCTCCTGGTCTGGGGCAAAAAGGAGAGTGAGGGGCTGAAGGGAAGGGGAGGGAGATGGGCCGGTTCCAGGCGAGGCTTTTGGCAGCTCCACACTCCCTCCAAGGGAAGCAGCATGTCAGGAAACAGGTTGGCACAGAGATTAAAATTATTTACAGGCTAAACAATGCCAGCCTCGGGCAGGGGATGCCAAGGCTGGCTGTGCTTACCACGGTAGGGTGACGCCTGCCTGGAGTTCCTCCAGTACCTCTCCTGCCTGCCCTCGATGAGCTGGTCCTGGCTGTCGTACAGGCAGCGCACGCCGGCGCCGTGCTGGTTGGGGGAGGCCGAGTGCAGCATGGAGACACGGGCACCCCACCTGCCTGAAAGGGGCACCAGGGAGCCTCAGACAGCTCTGCCCGGCCAGCACACCTGCCTCAGGGCAAGGACTGCGCCAGAGCTGGCTCCTCGTTATCCAGCACTGCCACTACATCACCCACGGTGCTGCAGGGGTTTGGGGGAACTGATGGAGACCATCCGAGTGGTCCCCAGGGGGAGACCCTGGTCCCCAGCATCCCCATGCAGGTCAGACCAACTCTGGCCAGTCTAATAAGACAAGAAGAGGTCAGCCCTCAATCCTCCCCGCTTTTCCTGTCTCTGAAGGGTAGGCCAGTCCCCCTCTCCTTTTCCTTAGGGTCACCTGCCGCCCTGCCAGGTGGGACCCCAGCTACCCCTGCAGGAAAGGTGGGGAAGGACAGCCTGGGGATGGGGAGGGTGAGGTAGCAGCGTGTCCACTTGCCTCCACGGCTGCTCTTGAAGCGTGGGTCCTGCTGCCCTTGCTGCAGGGAGCAGGGGCAGGTGGGCAGGCCCTGGCTCCATGCCCGGGGCTCCTGCTGCTGCCCCGTCCATGCCAGGCACTTCAGCCGGTAGTTGATGCCCACGCGGCTCTCCAGCTTGTAAATCCACAACCCACGGAGGTCTGAGCAGGGAGAGAAAGCACCAGCTGTCACCTTTGGCCAAGGGGCTGTTCTGTCTCAAGGTGAGAGTCATGCAGTGCTGATGCTGGAAGCTAAACCCACATTGACCTCCATCCTATGTTGAACAGCCACTCAACAGAAGGGAAACAGGGGAGAGGCTCTTGTCAAAGAAGAAAGCTTTGGGACAGAGCCATTGGCACAGCAGGGATGTTTCAGCCTTAGGGCATAGCAGGTACCCAGGGGAAATGTGCTTCAGGGGGAAAGCCTGGCTTTGAGAACTCAGTGAGAGCCTTGCCACAGTGGCAGGCTGGAATTCTTTGCCTGGGAATATTCCCCTCCTTGTGAACCCACCCCAGCTGTGTGGCACTACCTGTGTTGTAGCCCCTGAACTGGTCAGGGCGATATTTGGCAGCTGGAGGTCTCTTAGTCAGGCCATCATTGTGGTAAAAGCCATCCCCACTGAGTGAAGAGAAAAGAGGAAAAATCAGGGGTTGCTCTTCCTTGGGTGGGATTATCCCAGCCCCAGCCCCAGCCCCAGCCTGCCCTCCAGCCATCCTGACCCCGTGCCAGTAGAATTGCAGCACCCACATGACAGCTCTTGGGACAGGAGGGCAAAGGCATGAGCTGCCCCAGCCTGCTTCCTCCTCTCTGTGGGGTACAGTTCTTTTTGGGGGCTGCAAACACTCCTGCTGCACCAGGGGCCAAGCCCGCAGGCATCTGGAGACCCCCACAAGCAGCTTCCATGGTTTCCAGCATTTGCCAGGCAATTTGGAGGAGAAACCCACGAGTGGTCACTTGCACACAGGCGCACACACACACACATGCCTGTGCTGCCTGTGCTTCCCATCTGGGCCACCTTTTCCTTACCCAGCTGCAGCAGGCAGCTAATGAGAAAGCCCTGGAGACAGCGTGAACAGGGAGAGACGTAATGCGAGGAGGCAGGAAGCAACTGCTATGGCCAAGCACGGAAATCCCTTCCCTCGGCTGGTGCAAAGTTCAGCAAACATCCCCTGTTTCCCACTCCTTCCACCCAAACCGCCAGGATGCTGGGGGCCCAGCACTCCAGGGGGATTTGTGGATCTTACAACAAGCACAGCCCAGCAAGACAGCGTGCTGCAGCATGATCCAGTCCCTAATGGGGTGAATTTGTTTGTGAGGCCCCTATATGTTAGAATGTATAGGCATGCAGACCACATCTGGGCTGTCCTCATCCTTTAGGGCACTCCCTGGGATATGGGGGATGGATTCAACCAGTGGGAGCTGTGGGTGGGATGCATCCCAGTGCCAGAGGAGGCAGGGATGGGGTGCTGAGCTGCTGTACCTGGTGTAGCCGATGAGCACATTGGTGGAAGGGAGCCTGGTATAATCCCACTGCATGCCTCCGTCCTGGTACAGCATCAGGATGTAGGACCTGAAGCCATCAGTGGTCAGGACAGCCTGGTACGTGATAGTCTGGGGAGAAGGGTTGCAGACAGGTAAGAAAGTGAGTGAAGATGTGGGGTTTAAAATTCAGGGTGTGGGGCAGTGCTTGCTGGGGAATGGCCAGACTGAGGTCTGGAGGGAAACAAGGCAAACACAGCAGGGCCTGGTTCACATTTCACATGGAAAATGTGATGGTTTTACTTTGAAACTGTTCCATGACAAGCTTCAAATTCACCCAATTTTATGCCTCCGAAAAACAGCATTTCTGGTGCGCAATAAACTCCCACCACCTCAAAGAGAAAGGTTTTATGAAATGGGGGAAGTTCAACTAAAGGTGTCCCTCAAAAACCCTGAAAACCACCAAAACGTGGGCACAGCCCAGTCCTTTTTGGCAAAATTCTTCAGGATTGGCCTTTGTCACAAAACTGGTTCTTATATTCAAGCACAGAGAAGGTCATTGCCTGTGGGTCTTGGTGTTTTTTGACAATTCAACAGCGCCTGTGTTCCATCAGCCCTTACCTTCCGGGTGTCAGTCCGTGCTGCGTGCACAGGTGCCTTCTCCCAGGTGATTTTCAGGGTCCAGGCTGCAGAGTAGGAGGACCTCAGGTAGCGCCGGACCTTCACTTCCACGTCACGGACAAAAGGCGGCTTGGCCGTGTTGAGGGTGGAGAACTCCTGGGGTTGGGAACACCAACGTCTGTGTCAGCTCCCAGGGGGACAAAAGGCTGGAGTCACAGCTCCCAGGGGGACAAAAGGCTGGGGT